AGGCGGGGGGGGATGGGGGGGAGGAAGGAAGCTGGACCAGATGACACACCTGTGGAGGTATGAAGGTGTCTGGGACGGAGGACGCTGGCCTCTGTGTTGAGATTGTTCCTGCAGAATGGAGAGGAAGTGCTTCACTGTGAGTTTGAAGAACTGCAGAGGTTCGTTAACAACACAGACCTGATCGGTCACAGCACGAAGAAGGTTAGGGGAGTGTGGAGTCACGTCTGGGATCACGAAAAAATCCCTTCCTATTTGGCATCATGATTAATAAGTTGATGGTTTAGGGCATTAACTGGTGGCTCGTGGGCCAAATCTGGCCCGCCAAACAGGCCAATCCAGACCGTCTGGACTGGAATCCTTATCCAATCCAGACCGTCTGGACTGGATTCCTTCTGATTTTTATCTCATTTTGTTTGAGCTCATCGACAAATATAGTTGACGACCCCTGGTTTAGGGTCAGACGGGACTCACGGACGTGAACAGGTGAATATGTTCAACAATGCTGAGCGGGTGTTGAGTGCAGTGCAGTGAAGCAGGGTACGATCAGTGTTGTTCTCCTGCTGTGGTCAGTGTGGCTGACGTCCAGTACAGCAGCGTCCTGCCGTCACGGCCCAGCGGGGCAGTGATGTCACAGCAGCGCCACCGCAGTCATCACAGTCTCTCCGTGTGGAGCCGGTAAATCCGGCTCTTGTTTGCTGCTGTTGAGTCTCTGTGTGTGGCTGTGCTACGGTAATCTGTGTTTGGAATTTTATTTTTTCTCTCTCTCTCTCTCTCTCACCCAAACATACTCTGTTTTGACTTTTGTATGACTCAACTGCTGTGCCCTGCTTCAGTTTGTCAGAAAAACAAGCAGAGAGAGAGAGAGAGAGAGAAGCCTTCCTCCTGGAGCTTCAGACGGAGAAGTCAGAGTCAAATCCTCCTGCAGCTTCACTTCTTAGGACACAAACACAACCTTTTTAGACAAAGTCTTCCCAAACTTTAGACCTAACTCTAACTATGATGACGTCCGAACGAGTCTGATTTTTTTTTTCCCCAAAACCAATCCAGGCCACATCATTTGTGGTCCACAGTAGCATAAATATCTAATTTTGTCATTTGACGTAATGTAGCTAAAAGTAAAAAGTAAAATATGAAGAAACCAAAAACACACACACATTGTTGAAGGAGCTACAGTAGACAATGAAAAAAAGAAGACTCTGGGAGCTAGGAGGACAAAGCTGGGGAGTGCGGTCTGTCAAATGACCACATGTGATCTACCTACATTGATGTTGTGTTCTGATTGGTCAAACTGACGTTGAACAGACTCCAAAATTGTACTTTTATCGCCACTGCAGTAAACACAGAGTTTGACGCCACATCTTCTTCTCTCTGACGTAGGGTGTTTACATAACATTTAAATAATCATGTCAAAAAAACCACTCAAGAAAATTGGATCTCAGCAAAAAATAAAAACGGAATCAAGACTATTAGCATTTTTAGTTTTAGCTCTTGTCAAACTTTCCTACACTGATATCATAGATGTACCAGTTTGTATTTTCCTGTCAGCTGAACCAGTGGAACTACAACATGGTATTTCATCCCGACGCCTCTGCTTCATCTTAAAACGTCGGCCGCTGACGAGCACACCTGTGCCATGTGCACTCATGGACCAATTCTGTTGTTGTTTGTGTTGCCGGTGCAGCTGTGAACACAGTGTAGACAGTCACATAATTAGGTCCGCCTTGATGGAGATGCATGAGCTCATTTTAAAGCGGGGATTCTAATTCACTTCTCAGGCTGAAAGCGAGCTGAGGAGATCACACGTTATGGGAACATGAATATGCTGAGCTCAGCAGAAAAATATTGGGAGCAGGAGGTGGCAAGCAGCTCCTCGCGCTATTATTCTAAAGGCTGGCAAAGTGTGTTTCCTACTGACGTCACACACTGACTTCAACTGGTCCACTACGCACAGAGATGGGGAAGAAGGTGCATTACACGCTAAAAAGCCCCGAAAAATGAAAGGCATTACATCACTTTCTCCACCGGGATGGCGCTACAACAAACATAAACACGCTACGCAAGCACAAAGAGACTCAGCTCTTCTTCTTAGGACTCTGAGCCGACGCACCAGCGCAGCAGAAACACAGTGTTATCCCCAACTGTAACCATAACCACCTGAGACCGCGACACTTTTTCTTCTACTCTGGAACTTGAAGTTTTGAGAACAGATTCAAATAGTTCTTAGAAATATAAGTGTTCAGGGGGGCACCATTCACTGACATTCACCTTCAAATCACCTTCTGGATTCCAATTATGTTACACAACCTGACAAATGTGGAATTTATTCATAACATAGAGCACATGGATCAACCTCAGGCCCGAGGG